AGAGTAGGATACACATTTTTTTCCATCTCCTTTATAACACACAGGGGGAGTGTTGTAAGTTAATTGATTTTCATTCCACTGGAGATAAACATGTTTAAAAGGATTTTCTTCCACCAAAATTAATCTGTCAAGGATTATTCATTATGTACATTTTCAAATTATAACTCAGGAGAAATGTGATTCAAAGGAGTTCTTTACTGATCTTTTTAGAAAATGGCTATTATTTTTTATTTCTGTGATGATAAGTAACATGACCCAAATATATTCTCTGAATAGTACAGTAGGAAAGGAAGATCCTAGGTCACGTTATATATCATTTTTTTGCAGGCTGGGTTTAGCAGCATACCTGTTTGTCATTCTACTTTCACTTTATAGAGGCAAAAGTTGATTTTTAACAGATATTGACAGATGTTGAATAAATCAATACCAAATACTGAATGTAACATTTGCCTTTAAAGGAACACAAACTAGGGGCACCTGGGTGGCTCAGTCAGTTGGGTGTCCTGCATCGGCTCAGGTCAGGATCTCATGGTTTGTGGGTTCGAGCCCCGCATCAGGCTCTGTGCTGACAGCTCAGAGCCTGGAACCTGCTTCAGATTCTGTGTCTCCCTCTCTCTCTGACCCTCCCTCACCCACACTGTCTCCCCTTCAAAGACAAATTTAAAAAATAAATAAAAAATAAAGGCACACAAACTAATAAAAGAATATAGTCCTTGTACTTGAAAAGTTCAAAATAGTAAAAAGACATAAATGGTTCATTAAAGCCAATATTGTAAAAATTATCTTTTATGCTTGCTAATCCTACGACCATAGATAAATGTCTAAGCTGATTAATATTTATCTTCTTGATCTGATTCTTTATCTCCTCCATTCTTTGCTTTTAATGATGCTTACCATCAGCCAATTTTTTGAAACAGAGCTTTCTTATTCCCAGATCAAACTGGGATTGTATGTTATTATAGGTGATTCTTACAAATTCCCAGAAAAAAAAAAACTGAGACATATTCTAAAATTTGGAAGATCAGGTCCTATTTAAAAAGCAACTGATAATGATAAATTATGACATCACTATAACTTAGATTCTCCTTAAGCAATCAATATTAAAAGAACAGTTTCTGGGGCACCTAGGTGGCTCAGTCAGTTAAGTGTCTGATTCTTGATTTTGGCTCCGGTCATGATCTCATGGTTCTTGGGGATCAAGCCTCTCTCGGGGCTCTGCACTGTCAGCGTGGAGCCTCCTTGCAATTTTCTCCCCCACCCCCCTGCCTCTGCTCATGCACACACACTCTCTCTAAATAAATAAATAAACATTTTAAAAAAGAGAACAGTTTCCTTTGATCATCTGAATTCAACAACTTTGCTATTTTTTGGAAAAATTTTTAAATGTTTATTTTTGAGAGAGAGACAGACAGAATGTGAGTTGGGGAGGAGCAGAGAGATAGAGAGGGAGAATCCAAAACAGGCTGGGAAACAGGCTTCGAAACAGAATCTGAAACAGGCTCCAAGCTCTGAGCTGTCAGCACAGAGCCTAACGCAGGGCTGGAACTCTGACAGCGAGATCATGACATAGGCCAAAGCTGCATGCTCAACCGGCTGAGCCACCCAGGTGCCCCAAACTCCTTTGCTACTAATTCTGACTCTCATTAGCATTGCAGGAAGCTTACCATGATCACTCTGTAAAGAAAAGGGTAAGTTTAAGTATCTATTGATAAAGTTAGCAAATATTTACATTAATTTAAACATGGATAATAGATTTTAAATATTCAGTTGATTAAAAATAAAAATAAGCTAGCAAACAAATCTCCTCCTCCCCTCAAAAAACAAAACACAAGAGAAATAAAGAAAAGGAATTGAGAAGCAAAGGAAAGAATACTCTGACACTTTCCATGGAGGTAATTCATCTTAAAGAATTCGTTTATAGATTAATACTCTATGTTGTTAATTTGTTTTTATATACAATTGACCATGTTTTATGTCCAGGTAAAGTTTTGGTTTTTTTTTTTTTTTTTTTTTTTTGGATGAGGTTAGGTCATTTTAATAAAAGCTACAAGTTAGTTATTAAAATGTGTGTTTATCTTCCATATTTAGGAACACAAAAGGGGCAGCAAATATACCTGTTACATGAAAGAGAAATGACCTAGCACAAGAATTTGCTGTAGATTACTAGCTACAGTAATCTACATTTTTAAAAAAAATTTTTAACATTTATTCATTTTTGAGAGAGACCGAGCACATGGAGGAGGGGCAGAGAGAGAGAGAAGGAGACACAGAATACGAAGCAGGCTCCAGGCTCTGAGCTGTCAGAACAGAGCCTGACACAGGGCTTGAATTCACAAGCTGTGAGATCATGACCTGAGCTGAAGTTGGACGTTTAACCAACTGAGCCACCCAGGCGCCCCTACAGTAATCTATATTAAAAGACCATGAATAAAATGTTCCTATAACATTAAAGGTTTTTTTTAGTGTTTTACTTATTTCTGACAGAGAGAGAGAGAGAGTGAGCAGGGGAGGGTCAGAGAGAGAGGGAGACACAGAATCTGAAAAGAGGCTCCAGGCTGAGCTGGCTGTCAGCACAGAGCCCCGACACGGGGCTCGAACCCCCGAACCGTGAGATCATGACCTGACCTGAGCTTAAGTCGGATGCTTAACCAACTGAGCCACCCAGGTGCCCCTAAAATGTTTCTATAACATTAAAGGACTTGAATTAACATTGCATACCACAGAAAAGAGACTAAACATGCAAAAATGTTTGCTAGATTCAATCATCAGGCTTGACTACAAAAGGATATAAAAGCTTCAGATTTCCCAAGTGGGTGACATCATCACATTAATAAAACCATAGCTTCCATTTAAGAACATTTTATGTACAGGAATGAAGATAGGTTATGTCAGCTACTCATTCCAGCAACAGTTACTTTCCATGTGTGTTTCCCAACCTTGCCTTTTGTGTTTGTCTTTTTAAAATTTTGTCATTTTGACCTATATGAAGTATCTTCTTTCCCTGAAAGATTCTGATTCAAGCTGCAACGTGGGAATCTTTTTAAACCACTTTTGTTGCCCCCTCCCTTCTCTGCCTGAGGTAATTTTTTTTAATTAAGCAAATTTAGGAAACACTAATCATGAGATGCGACAAAAAATGCTGTCAACTCTGCTTTTATTTCTAAACTCTAAACCAAACAAAAACATCAGTGTACAGAGTTTTACCACCTTCATTACAAGATTCAAAGATTTTAATAAGGACATTACAGACACATCCAGAAAAAGTTCTCATATACACCATCCTCACCTTTAATAAATGTTTTTATTAATCACTTTATATAATGTAATTTCCTTAAAATTTTTTAGACATTTATTTATTTTAGAGACAGAGAGACACAGAGTGTGAGCAGGAGAGGTATAGAGAGACAGGGAGACACAGAATCAGAAGCAGGCTCCAGGCTCTGAGCTGTCAGCACAGAGTCCTACATAGGGCTCAAACCCACGAACCGTGAGATCATGACCTGAGCCAAAGTCAGACGCTTAACCGACGGAGCCACCCAGGTGCCCTAATGTAAATATCTTTTACACAATTCATCTACAAGATAAAATAGAATAAAACATTTTCTAATTGTTATCAGAGACAAATAAAAGGAGTAAAACATAGATAATAGCTTTATAACTTTTGTTTCACAATCCTTATATGCCCAATAAGACATATTTTCTTTCTTTCCTTTTTTTTCAGTAGTACAAGTACAGTCATAATTTAAATCTGTAATGAGATATTTCACATCAAAGGGCAAGTCCAGGCTGCAATTTCCAAACATGCAATTTCCAAGCATGGTTTAGTCCAAAAGCATGAAAAGAAATGGTAGCTTATTCCATGCAAAAAGTGTAACTTTATGCATCTTACATAATCCTCTTTATGACCAAGAACTAACTTAAAAGAGTAGTATAAAAATCCACAAAAGCTTAAAAATAAAGTTGGCTCTAAATAATTCAAAAAATATGTTTTGAAAACATGAACTTTTCCACTGCCTTTATTTTTTCTTTAGATTCTCTATTTTTAAAGTTAAAAATGAGGTCACTTCGCTAATTCATCACTCAATAGTAGTTCAGTGGATTATTTTCACCATTAGACTGTTATCGGGCTGAGCAAGGCCGATCCCTATCAACTTCTATGGTTTCAAAGTTAGGAATCACAGGAAAAGGGCCAAAAAATGTTTTATTTTCAATATGTGGGATTCACTTAAGTGGTCTGTCCATATAGCCTTAACCCACTGTTCTTTTGAAGTCAATGCCATTCAAACAGTGGGCAAATTTCTGCTTATTCAACCCCTTAAAATTAGTTTTACAACTGGAAGTCTCCAAAATACACATCCTAATTGTTTGTGTGTATTTTTTAATGGATGTAGTAAATTATCTAGGGATTTTTTTTCATGCTTTTTGTATCCAATAGCGTATAGGATTCCGCCAAACCCACGTTAAATTTTTCCCACCTACTATTGTGGCCACACCAACTATCTATGCGCATTTCACAAAACCGCCCTTCCAAATGCAGAGAATTAAATGCAAAGAAATAAAGACTTTTCTAAATATAGCCCCATCATGTTTATTTTACACTCATCTAGTAGGTCACCAGCGACGGCCAGCAGCAATGGACACTTAGAAGCATCTCCCAAAGCAAAACCAAGGGGCGCTTGACAGCTACGCCATCTACCTGTTGAACCTGGGCCACTGCTTTCCACAACTGTCAGGTCAGCTTCTTCCATCTAGAAAAGCTCAAGATGGATTTTTCTTTTTTTTTTAAACAAAGTTGTTTGCTAACCTTTCTTCCCACCCTGTTTCCCTCGGGTCAGTTCTGCGGAGGGCAGGGAGCCGCGGGGTCCGCGAGCCGCTCGGCCCGGCGGGCTGCAGCCGCGATGCGGGGCGGGCCGTGCCGGGTGGCAGCCCGGCCGCCGCGGACGGAGGGCGTCACAGGCCGGGCGGAGAAGCACGCAGCCTCCTGGCCCCGATTTACTCACCTACCGTCCGCAGGGGCGGTGGGGCGCGTGCCTTCCGCCCAGCCGGGGGGCCCAGATCCGAGGAGCGGGGAGGCGGCGAGGCGAGGGGCACGCAAGAAGGAAACCGTGTTACCTAAGCCGGGGATGCGGAGCGAAGGAGGCTGCAGCCTTTCCCTCCAGAAACGGAAGAGGCGGGGGAGGAGGAGGAGGAAAATGAGGCGGCGGCGGCGGCGGCGGCGGGCGGAGGGGCTGCAGGCGGCTGCCCGCAGGCTCAGCCGGAGGGCGCGGGGTCCGCGGCACCGCGGTGGGCGCCCGAGGGGAAGGCGAAGGGCGCCGTCGTGCTCGCCGCCCCGCTGGGCCCCGCTCGCAGACCCTCAGCATCCGCGGGGCCGCCGCCCCCCTCGGCCCCCGCGGGACCGCGGCGTGGAAACGCGGTGACGCCTGGAGGCTCCCGGGGCGGGCGAAGGCATCCCACGCCCGCCAGGGCCGAGCGTCCGCGACGTCACAAGTAGAGGGTGATGATTCAGGGAGCGGGGGTGCCGGGAAGGAAAGGGCTCCCGGGTCACCTAATCCGCTGTTCTTGTTCTGTCCCGTGGACGCTCACAGATTTCGTTTTTGAAATCTTCCTGCTCCGTTTTTCTGTGCCCTTTTGGAGATTCAGGGTTTGACAGACGGGTTGGCAACTCTGAAGATAGACTTTCTGCCAGTGCAATCGGGTCCCACTATTCTAATAGAAATGTCCACTGTGCTGGTTTTTTTTTTTTTAATATTTTTATTTATTTCTAGGAGAGAGAGAGAGAGAGAGAGAGAGAGACAGCGTGAGGAGGGGAGGGTCAGAGAGAGAGGGAGTCACGGACTCTGAAATAGGCTCCAGGCTCTGAGCTGGCAGTCAGCACAGAGCCCGACGCGGGGCCCGAACTCACGAACCGCGAGATCATGACCTAAGCGAAAGTCGGACGCTTAACCGACTAAGCCACCCAGGCGCCCCCTACTGTGCTGGTTTTTATTTAAACCACAGCGGTGTCTCCCAGGGCGCTCGCCTTACAAGGTGTGGGCCTGGGGCCACCTTGACAGGAAGCACATCATAAGGAGGGAAACCCTCTCTCTAAAAACTCCTTAAACTGTGGTTTTCAGTATGCCTTAACAATTGTGTTGAGGGGCGCCTGGGTGGCTCCGTCAGTTAAGCATCCTACTTCGGCTCAGGTCCTGATCTCAGGGTTGGTGGGTTCAAACCCCTCGTCCTAGCTCTGTGCTGACAGCTCAGAGCCTGGAACCTGCTTCAGATTCTGTGTCTCCCTCCCTCCCCCCCTCCGCCCCTCCCCTGCCCATTCTCTCTCTCTCTCTCAAAGATAAATAACATTAAAATTTTTTTTGTAATGGTTTTGAATTGGGGAAGAAGTCAGAATTTTTAAAAAGCAACATAAAATTTTGGGGCGCCTGGGTGGCTTAGTTGGTTAAGTGACCGACTTTCGCTTACGTCATGATCTCGCGGTTCGTGGGTTCGAGCCCCGTGTCGGGCTCTGTGCTGACTGCCACCTCGGAGCCTGGAGCCTGTTTCAGAGTCTGTGACTCCCTCTCTCTCTCTCTGACCCTCCCCTGCTCATGCTGTCTCTCTCTCTCCTAGAAATAAATAAAATATTTAAATAAAAAAAAAAAAGCAACATAAAATTTTGAGTAGAAGGTGGCCTGGCAGCTGGCCCAGCGGGCTGAATGTTGTCTGTGAGCGCATTGGGCCTTCTGCCCTTTCCTTGCACTTCTTGGCACACCTAGGAAATGATACAGCCCAAAATAGGGTGAACAAAAGAGGCTGCTTCTGCAGGCATACCTGGGCCCTTCCTCCTGGAGGACCAAGGAGACCAATATCTACATACCTGTAACTCACTCCATGGCTAGAAATTTAGAAGCTCTGTTTTAAAGTTCCAGCTGGCAGGTCTTCTTAACGATGTTTGCCAAAACCACCCAAGACTGCCTCCTGAGTTGTCGATGCCTGGCCCCAGGCAGTGAGGAACCATCAAGACAGGATGCCGCAGCAACAGTGGACTTGTCATAAAAATCCAGGAAATGGACCTTACAACTCTCCATCTCCAAGCTGAGCGCATCTTTCTGTTCCCAGCCTGCGTCTGTGGTCTCTAGCTTGAGACAACTCAAGTTCTTCTGGGGCTCCTGGGTGGCTCAGTCGGTTAAGCGTCCGACTTCGGCTCAGGTAATGATCTCATGGTTAATGGGTTCAAACCCAATTTAGGGCTCAGTGCTGACAGCTCAGAGCCTGGAGCCTGCTTCAGATTCTGTGTCTCCTCTCTCTGCCCCTTCCCTGCTCATGCTCTGTGTCTCAAAAATAAATAAGCGCTAAAAAAAATTTTTTTTTAAGTTCTTTTGTGGGGAGGATTCTCTAGCTGCTATGATAATAGCTAATGGCACTATGCTAAATGCTTTTTGTGTTGTATAGCTGTTCATTCTTACCTCAGTCCCGGGGTAGGTGTTACTGTTATCTCCACTTAATAAAGTGGAGAAATCTGTCCCTGAGAGGTTAGGTCATTTACTTAAACATGTAGTATGTAGTGAGGCCGACTTTGAACCCAGCAATGTGACTCACATTCTATTACCTATTCATGTTTTAAATACCTTCCTCAGACACTAAATTTGAGGAGGATTAAAAGATTAAAGTTTTTCAGAAGTCTTAAAAGTGTAAGGAGAAAATACAAGTGAATTGCTTTTAATCTGAATGTAAGCTTAGAGCAAAGGGCGAAATTACAAAGGAAAAGTGACAGACTTGATTATAGACTTTTTAATTTCTTTCATCAAAAAGAAAGAAATTTTTACACATAAAAGTAAAAGACAAGTAAAAATTATCAAAAAATGTGCAATATACAGGGCGCCAAGGTGGCTCAGTTGGTTAAGCATCTGACTCTTGGTTTCGGCTCAGGTCATGATCTCACTGTTAGTGAGTTCAAGCCCCTCATTGGGCTCTATGCTGACAGCATGGAGCCTGCTTCAGATTCTCTGTCTCCCTCTCTCTCTGCCCCTTCACCCCCATCTCTCTCACAAAAATAAATAAATAAATAAACTTTTTTAAAACTTTGCAATATACATAAAAAAGTAACATTTAAAAAAAATAGAGTCTTACAAAGAAAATACAAACTTCCTATTAAAAATGGACAAAAATGTAAATTTATTAAGTCATGAAAGAAAAATGTAAATGGCCAAACATATTTTTAAGGGAAGTGAAAACTTAAAAACAAGCTAGTGGTTTGGGCCAGGGCCCCTTGAGGCAAAATGGGAGGCCAATGACCAAATTCAGTACTGAGAAGTACATAAATTGCTTCAGTGTTTCTAGAGGGCAAGTTGGCTGAACGCAGTAAAAGCCTCAAAAATGTTCACACCCTTTGCCTTAAAAAGTGCATTTCTGGAAATTCATAATGCAGGAATTGACAGATATTTTCTCTAAGAGCCCAGGTAGTAAATACTTTAGGCTTTGCAAGCCACATGTGTTTCTGTTGCTTTTCTTCTTTGTGTGTGTGTGCTTTTGTTTTTTAAGCCCTTGAAAAATATGAGAGCTATTAGCTTGAGGGCTGTAGAAAAATGGGCTGTGGACTAAAATTGGCATGAAGGCAGTAATGTGTACAAAGAGTAGACTACAAGAAAGTTCATCCTAGTGCATTGGGTAATACAAAGAAGAAAGCACACTAAATGTCTGAGGAGAGAAATTAGTCACAGATATAAGGAAACAAGTATTTTATAAGTTTTAAATATTTTAAAAAGTTGCACAATGATATTTGTTGCATGAAATAGTATTTGTGATTTATTACATGAGTATGTAATAGGAATATGATAGGAAAACCATATCTTTGTTATCATCTCAAATACGACATAGTCATGTGTATGTACTCATAGAAATGATCTGGAAAGCTATAAACACACTGAGATATTGATAGTCGTCTTGAGGTAGAGGTGAGACTGTAGTATTTGGTTTTCTGTTATGTGTGTGCTTTCTGTAGTGAATATGTGTTGCTTTTGTAATATGCAAACATATAAGAAACTTTATTTAGGCAACAACAAAGCACTTTAGCTTAGATTTTTGAGAAAATCTGCCCTGAATTCACTCTCCCAGATGGAGTTGTTTGCTGTCTCTTCCGTGCTCCTTGAATTCATAATGGTCTTTTGAATACCATTATTTACTTAATTAGAGAATTAGTCCCAATATTTCACTATTTTCAGTATGCTGGTTACTTTCTACCAGCTCTCTGCCAAATCCACTTTCCACCCTTCTCTGCTAGACTCTGTGCCTCTGAAAAAAGCTTTCAGAAACTGTTTTCTCTGGGGTCTCTTGCCAGCTGGCTTCCAGGTAGGATTGGCCAATGGGTTATACCAACAATAGGTTGGAGGGTGGAAAAGGAGAGAAGTTGGGGTATTTATTCTCACCACTTTTCCTGGTTTGGACCTCTAAGGCAAGGCAGCTCCCCCTTCGCTCCTCTGCTAATTTGATCTCCTCCCCTTATCCCTTCAGTCCTAGCCATGGTCAACGGCTTCTGGCTTCTTATGTTGTCAGAGCCTGCGTACCTCCACATTTCTTACCATCTCTGTGTCATGTTATATCCTTTCGCCCTACCCTAAACCTAACCAAAACTTCTGTAAATAGTCCCTTCAATAAAATCTCGTCTGTTGAAACATCTGAATGGAAGTTGGTTGTTGTTAGGACAGACTGATATATTAAAGAACACTGGTGAATATCATGGAACTCCAATCTTTTATTTCTTAAGTGACAGGCCTGGATATTCTCAGACTTTATATCTGAGATTTTGGCTATTTACAAGGTAATTATAGAATGATTTACAAGTTTCCTAAAGCAGGAATTTAAAGTACCATGAGTCCAGTGTTTGGGAATGTAACATTCTGACTATTGTTCTCTACTTCTCCAATAGTTTTTGAGAAATAACACTCAATTGCATTTTATTGAAGAAATTAAAGAGTACAGTATAGTGGTGTTCAAACTGTTTTCAGTGGAATCTTTAAGAAAGTAAGTAATTTATAGGCATCTACCATATAAATAAAAGTTACATGCAGAGTTAAAGGAACCTTCTTCCTCATCTTTAAGACATACTCTGCCCCCCTCCTCACCACCACAGAACCCCAGAGCTCTTTGGAACACAGTCTGAAAACACAGATTTAATGAGTCCAAGTCTAGAAGATATATCCTTTTT